TTGTCTTCGTTCAACCATCTCATCATCGAGCCTCCATGCTGCCCCTTGGTCTTATGTTGCGCGAGGCCGATGATCCCGATGAAGAACAGGTCTATCCGTTGGGATTCCCTAGCTCCGGAAGTTATGTCTCCCTCTTCCCCCATTTTCTTTTTTTCGGGAGGAAGGAGTTTCTTAAGATGGTCTTATTGATATAATTTCTTAAAATGCTCTACATTCCATACGCCTGAGGCGTTCCCCTCCATTGTGCGGAGGACGAACGTCCCCTAAGCATATTTCTTGAATACTCTGTACGGCCCTTCCAAGTTCTTGGCCATTTTGCCGCTTTCGAGCGGTTTGCTTTTCTCTCGTTTCCTTAGAACTAGGTCCCCGACCTCTATTTCTCTGATCCTTACCGCCTTGTTGAAGTATCTCTGGGTGGCTCGGTGGTATTCTTCCATCCGCCGGGCGGCGAGATCTCTTCGTTTCTCGATGAAGTGAAGCTCCGCATGTAGCATGTTTTCATTGTCCTCTGGTTGGAAGTGCGTCATCCGGTGTGTTGGTACGAGCACTTCCGTAGGGACCTTGGCTTGAAAACCGTATGCTAATGTGAAGGGAGTCTCCCCGGTAGCTGTCCTCGGGGTGATCCTGTACGTCCACAAGACGTAGTTTAGCTGCTCTGGCCAAGTTGAGGCGTAGTCTTCTAACTTCTTCTTGATTCCATCCATGATGGTGCGGTTCATGTTCTCCACCTGGCCATTGGATTGGGGGTAGGCCACTGAGGCTTTGGAGTGCCTGATACCCCATTTGGCCAGATATGTCTCGAATCCCTTCCCGACGAATTGTCGTCCGTTGTCTGTGATAATCTGCTCTGGGATCCCGAAGCGGCACAAGATGTTCTGCCAGACGAAGCGCTGGCATTGTTTTTCTGTGATTAATGATAGAGGTTCGGCCTCCACCCATTTCGTGAAATAATCGATTGCCACGATTATGAACTTCTTCCCTCCGGTCGTCCTGGGCAGCGGACCCAGCAAATCAATTCCCCATCTCGCGAAAGGTAGTGCTATGGTCATCGGGGTATAGAAACTAGTCGGGCATCCTGGCATTGGCGCATATTGCTGGCATACCGCACACTTCTGAGTGTGATTAAAACAATCTCGTTGAATCGTCGGCATCTCGTTGGTGGCTGGAACAGATGCCTTCATGGATCTCCTCCATGACCGCGGTAGCTAGGTTCGGCGGAGGCATGTGAGATATGGCTCGCCGAACGTCTTATTGTATAGTTGCTCGCCGATGATCTCAAAGCTCGGAGCCTGTCTCTTGATCCAGGCGCCCCTGCTAGCCGGTCGGCCATCTGGATTCAAAGGAAGGGTTCCGTCCCTGAGGTAGTCAACCACTTCGGTCGTCCAGTTTGGGTCTGCAAAAGAAATGGCTAATACCTGAATAGTTTTTGTCATCGGGCGGAGGAGCACTTCGTGTTTGGCAAAACCTCTGATGTGCCTGGGGACGAGCGTTGTCTGATCCTCGGATTGAGGATTGCTCAGTTTGGACAGGATGTCCGCTTCGGCATTCTCTACTCGAGGCACCAGGTCGATGACCACCTGCTCGAACTGCGCCGTCAGCTCCTCGGCCAGCTCCTTGTAGGCCTTCATCCGCTCCTCTCGGGTCTCGGCAGTGCCGTTCATCTGCGTGACAACTAGCTGGCTGTCCATTCTTACCTTTTTTTACCTTGAGCTAGTGGTCCATTCCCACAGACAGTGCCAGTGTTGAGGTTTATTCCCTTCAACCCATAGGCCCAACACACAACCTAAGGGTTTCGAGTGGGTATTTTTGGAGAACAAGGTCAAACAAGTAACATGAGTCCCAATAAGAAGTCTCAGTATAATTTTAAGGCGTGAGGCCGTCCGTACAAATGCTCTGCTGGAAAGTGAGGACGTTCATCCCCTGATATGCTATGAGCTGCTATGAATGTTATAATACTAGAGTGCTAAGTTTTCCGATCTGTTACAATGAAATAAATGCTCCCTTTTATACCGTTAATGGGTGGTTAGATGTATATTGAACCCAACAGTAGATGATTTGATCCCGACTACCAAATATTCTGCATTAAATGCGTGACCCCCAGGATCTTGGCTTCACACCAAGGGGTGGGCACGTTCGTCCCAATGGGCTTGTCTAGCTTGATCCCGATCATCAAATCTCTTGTATTAAATGCACAGCCATCAAATATTCTGTATTAAATGTAGAATCCCGCCAGGATCTTGGCTGACCGCTAAAGGGGTGGGGACGTTCGTCCCCAAGTCGTGCTCCTGGACCAAGGTATATGTTACGCTAGGATACATACGTCCCCTGGATGATGGGGAAGGGTATCCCGTTTTCTTGGGTCTTCAGGGGACGTTCGTCCCCATGAGCCTAACTATTATTTCCTGCCGAAGTCCTTCGAGACGTGTGTCTCGTACTGCCCCTGGGCCAAGGCACATTGTACGCTAGAATACGTACGTCCCCTGGATGATGGGGAATGGTGCTCTATTGTCTTGGACCTTCTGGGGACGTTCATCCCCATGGGCTTGCCTCCTGTGAGACGTGCGTCTTGTCATGCTTCTGGGGTAAGGTACATGCCTATACTTGGAGACGTACATGTTGATAAATTCAGTCCCAAATAGGATCTAATCTCACTGAACATGATGAAATTCATATAATCAAACAATAAGAAAACTAACCGGTTGAGGAGAAACCAAACGTTGATGGCGAAGATGATGAAGCCATGATGTCTTTGGATTCTCTAAGGATACAAGCGGATTTCGATGGATTAAACGATTCTCCCTTGGGTCTCTTATTATAGGTGTTCTTGAGACCCTTGGGAATGAACGTGTACGTTCGTTTAGTCGTAAGAATTGAATGGGCGGATGCCTTTTATACTTTGTATCAAAGAGAAACCCATTTGATCCCTTATGTATTATTTAATGTTAAAACATACCCATCATATGTTAACTATACATAAATACAAGGACCAAATCTGTCATATGACAAACTTAATGGTAAGACATAAATGTCCCCAATATATATTAAATTATATAAATGATCCAAGGGCATTTAAATGGAATATTTTCCAACAGTACATCCCCTTCTCTTTGGCCAAGTTGGGGACGAACCTCGCTAGGGGGCAAACCCATTGTTTTGGGCCCTCTAGGGACGTTCGGTCCCATGGAACTCGTGTTGGGTAAAGTCCTATAATACGTACGTCTAGTGCTGCTCCTGGGCCAATGTACCTGCCACGATATGATACGTACGTCCCCTGTGTGGAGAATGGTATCCCGTTGTATTAAGCCTTCTGGGGACGTTCATCCCCATGGGCCTCCTGGTAAGCAAAGTCTTTCGAGATTTACGTCTAGTGCTGCCCCTGGGATGAGGTACATGTCACACTAGGATACGTACGTCCCTTGAATGGGGAATGGTATCCCGCTGTCTTGGGCCTTCTGGGGACGTCCATCCCCAAGGGCCTTAGGGGTTTATGGGCCAAACCTCATTGAGTCATTAACCCAACAACAATAATTAATCCTATTTTGGGAATAAAATCATGATAGTCCTATTTTGGAATATACACACGTTTTTAGTCATATACTCTTATTTTGGGTAATTTCTCTAGATTCATCAATGTTGTCCAATTTGATTATGTTTGTTATTTATATTACCTAAAATAAGATCGACCGGGTTCTTAATCATTTCAATAATAAATGCAGGGTTTTTTCCTTCAATATTATCAATTTAAAGCTGACTTCCAAAAATGTGACCATTTTTTTAAAAGGACAAAAATGTGATTAAGAAGGTCACATATTTGGAAAAGTATTATATCACTGTATTTTTATGTCACTGCAAGATTATTATGTCACTATTCAAATGTCACTTTGACCACCGCCTATGTCACTGTGCCGCCGCTCGTGTCACTGTGCCGCCGCTCGTGTCACTACTGCCACCGCACTTGTCACTGACACCACCGCACGTGTCACTAATGCCTTGAAAACATGTCACTTTGACAGTCCACCGGACTGATGACTTTTCCGGCAAATCAGTCCCCCAACACCACCACCGCCACCCTGTCCGCACCCCCTGCTCCCCGCACACCGCCCACTAACCCTGGCCCTCCCCATCCCCATGCCCCAGCTCCAGTCCTCAGCACCCTGCCCCTTGACCAGCCCTAGCCCCAGCCACCCTCCCCAGCCCCCAAATCCTCTGCTACCATTGCCGACAACCGCCTCCTGCCCATCTCCGCCACTATTCCAGCTGATAACCACTACGGGCCATTGAACTATAACCGCCGCGCCACCTGCTTTGGTGACTCCCGAGACGTGGTCGCTTGTTTTCATCTCCTAGATCAGATTTCGTCCACCCTGATCTGGTAACTTGGTCGTCGTCCCCCTTCGTATCCGGTTGCTTGTTGCTCATCTCCGAATTCCCTATTTGTAGAAGGTCCAAGTCACCAGAGAAGAACACAGATTCAACCTTCACCCTCCTCCACACCCAATTTGAAGAAGGTCAAAACAACGACTTACTACTTTGGCGACGACGCAAATGGCGTGCGATGAGGCAGAGAGGCGGTTCTGAACAGAGAGACGGAGCAACGGCAATACGGCATAGAAGAGAGCGGAGATGCAGCTTGGACGGCGAGGCAGACCGAAGTGCAAAGAAAGTAAGCGCGGGGAGTCTTGCGTGCGATGCGAAGAAAGAGCCCTGGGCAGATGACGGACTAAGCCATTTCATTTTAGGGTGACTTTTTTGTCCAATGAAAAAATGATCATATTTTTGTCTAGCCAAAGTCCTTACATAATATTTATGTCATTTTTTCATAAATGTATGGTGCTTTTTATCATTAAAAAAATCATAAACCTATGGTGCGAGTGCGCCAATATGCTACATATTTACCAAATATCACAAAATTCTTTAACAAATAAACAGCCGCATTTCTCACTTCAATTTTATGCACTAGTAACTTTTGATTATATAGTAGACAAGTAGTGGTAGTAAGTTGAATTCAAAATACACATTTGGGAACTATACAAACACATTTGGGAACTATACAAACATATAATACGGAGTAATAATGAAATGGCATTCAAATCACATTATGAAGGACCAAATCGGGTTCTAGTGTATCATCCAGAGGTTAAGCTATGTATTAACATTAACATTTAACAATACAAACAAAGAAAGAAGCAGAGGGAACAAGGGTACAAGGGCGTTCCCTCTATTGTCACATTAGAACCTTCGAGTCTGCAATATAAATTATCTTTCATAAGAGCGTCTCCCTAACTACTCCATATGAGGAAACGTCTGAGAAGTCAGAATTGTTTGATAGGTTCTTTTCATCTATCTCTTATTGGAGATGACGACAGGGAAATCAAATGACCACTGCTCTTGACATCAAAGATCTCAATTATTTCAGGTACACAAAACCGTAAAGGGCCGCTCATAATCTTTAAAAGGTACAAATAAACTCCTTGATAGGTGAATAGAAAAACCTTACTAAGGAGCGACAAGCAATGGTGGGGTGGGTGGGGTAGTCTGGTGTCACAGTTTTTTAGTTATTTCCTCATCTGCCCGCTTGTAGTATGACATTCTTCGAATAGATGATGCAGCTTCTTCTGCGTTTCTGTTCTCAAAAGCTACTCCAAATGATTTTGACCACTCTTCATACTTTTCCCTTAGCTGCAGAGTAAGATGGGATGAAGGAAAATAGAGAAGCTCTTACATCCTGTATTGATATATAAGTAACAAGTAACAACTAATTTTGCCTTTTGTTTTTCTACGTTTTACGGGCTCATATGTACACCTGTGCCTGAATATGTTTCAATGATTGTGGGTCTCCTGATTCTTCAATAGTTTCCCTGATCTCCATAATCTGTGATTCAAAGAGGTAAGTGTCCGGTTAGGAAATACTCCCTCCGTCCCTAAATGTTTGTCACACTTTCCCGAAACGGACGTCCCAAAATGTTTGTCATACTTTTTAAACTTCCTTATTTGGTAAACAAATCTATACCAAACAGTGTCAAACAATGCCAAACAGTGCCACTACAGTGTGAAACAGTGTCACTACAGTGTAAAGTCAAATTCATCTCCTTAAAACTTGTGAAGTCAAAGTATGACAAACATTTAGGGACGGAGGGAGTAAAAAAAGTCACAAGGCTGGTGGATGAAATACCTCCCCTAGTAGCTCAGGGTCCAAAATCCTCTCCTCTTCATCTACATGCCATCCTTCCAACTTCACCTTACCCAGAAAGAATATACCCGATAAAAACATGATATATATTACTCACATAGAGACAATAAAATCAAAATGTATTACAAAATTGACCATTGCAAAGCAGAACAAAAGGATATATATTAGTTTGATTATTTAATGCTGCTACTATCAGTTACGCGCTCACATGCAAGAGTGGTATCATGTTTAGAAACTTCAACCAAGTCTCGTGTTCTCACAATTTCATATCCGCGTTTATAAATAAAAATGCAGCAGAATGGTTTGTTTTTTTTAAAAGAAATGTCAAGTCTCACCAAAGAAACCCAGTCAGAATAAACCAAGCAATTGTATTCAATTGAAATCCAAATATTGGGGCATGAAAATATGAGATAGCACTGATCTTGAGAGAATGAGAGGTCAGCTTTAGAATGAAAAGGACTATAACCAAACAATATTGTTCAGATCATGAGTTTATTGTAGAATAAAGTTAGAAATGAGGATATCAAAAGCATACAAATAACAAGAACTGCATAAAACACAAACCTACAAGATATTTTGCTCTTGACAATGAGTTGGTGAGAGTCCGATATGCATCGATTACACGAGCAGACTGTTCAGCAGCGAACTCCTTTTCTTTCTAACAAAATGCCAAATCAAAATCATCAACCACCAAACCATATAACAAAAATACCTAATCCACAAAAAGTTAAACCGCAAAAATAAATAGCTTTATATACTTCAAACTCCACCCCATTTTAGGAAATTGCACACAAATTAAGAAATAACATAAAAGCACTTATTTATAATGCCTTGTGATTCTCTTTTTCTAACTAATAATTATTACAAACTATCAATATTTCTCTCAAAAATTATGCTTTTGTATCTCAAGATATGGAACTTTAAAAATATTTTGTAATATCAAGGCCTCGAGTCATGTAATAAATCTTATTATTCCCAGTACCAATCTTTCAATTACAAAAGTTGAATAAGGGAAACTAGGAAAGAAGAGTGGAAATTATATCTTGGATTCCTAAAGCGATTATTATTTTAGGACAGATTTGTATGGCTAGATTCACTAGAATGAAAAATAATTAGGGATAAAGGGAATATACCTTGGATTTCGTATGAACCAAGTCAGGATGGAGCTTCATCTGCCAGTCTTTGTACTTGAGCTCAAGATTCTTCCCCTTAATTTCATATCTTTTCTCCCTTTGAAAATGCAAGTGACAACGTTTAGCACAAACCAACACAAAAGAAAATGAAAATTCAAACACTTGCACTACAAGAGCTCATGAGTCATGAGCAAAGATCAGTTGAGAACTACAGTAGCATTGCTTAATGGGAAAAAAATTGCAAATGTATTCTCAAAGTTATATGACATAAAAATATAAAAAAATAAGTAATAAAATAAATATAGATCTCCTAGTACCATTTAAAACACTGAATTAGTGGTGAAGTTTAAAGATCATATTTCTGATGGTCATTTCGTTATAGTAATTCTACATAACAGAAAGAAAAAAAAGTATACCATCATCCCCAAGAAAGTCTTGTTTGACCAATTCACAACTTTACTAATTTTTTTTGTAAAATACAATTTCCATACATAATGAATCATACTTACATTAGTAGAATTTACACTTACAGTAAACTATATTTGTCATATGTAACTTTTATGCTACCCCTTTTTTATAATTCATTTAACCAAAGTAGACTCTTCTAAACGGATATGAAATAAAACCCTTGCGGAGAAATAGGACTTACAATCCAAAAATTTGGAAATAATCAATGGATTCATCAACATGTTGAACACTAGCACAAGTTTCACAAACAAGAAATGGATGGTTACTTGATGCCTCTGAATTACAGTTCCAGCACTTGAGTTTCTCTATAGAAGATAAAGTGCAAACATATTTTCCACTTTGGAATCTGGGAATAAGACGTCTTTGGCTTTGGAATAATTTAGAAGCAAAAGCTTCTTTTATATGAGGAGATGAAGGAGATAATGGAATCGAAACTTGTGAGTAGGAATGAAATGGGATTTGAGGTGACGTTGAACAGAGGATTGGGTAACAGTGAGAGAGGGTTCTTGATAAAGTTGTGAGCCTTTTTGTCCACATTGTTTGCGGGAAGAAGGTGGTGAAGGGGTGGAATTGCACTAATTTTTCATGCCCGGCAATTTATGAAAAAATAAATAAACCTTCCCTTGTAGAAGCTCAGATCAAATGTCCAGATGCACAATCAGGTTGATCTAATGGTCAGGATAGATTAGGCAATGCGATTTGTCACTTGCCTGAAAAGAAAATCATGAAGTTGCGTGTTAGTTATTTAGCCATCACAAGAAGTAATTTTAAGTTTTTGTTAACATTTTCAAACTTGAAAGGATTAATATATAGATATGATTTATTTTTTAATTTATCGTAAAAATATACTCCCTCCGTCCCATAAAACTTGCACAAATTGACTTTTTTTGACCAATGATGATAAGGTTTGGACAATAATTTTAGTTAGGCTTAAATATGTTTTTAGTTCCTGGCAATGTTCTAAAAGGCGCTGGTGCTAGTCAGGCACCAGTCCAGCGCCTAGCGCCTAGGCGGTTAGGCGGGCGCCTAGTCAGGGACTAGTCGGAGACATAGAAATTGCATTTTTATCTATATTTTTGCATAAATATGTTAAGTAATATTGTATTTTTTGTGTGTATAAAATACATATATACACATTAACAAACATGAATGATAGAATTATCACATTTAATCATACGTAGTATATGATAACTAATCACTTAACTTCATTATGTTATAAATATAAATAATAATAAAATTTATATATATACAAAGATTACAAACATATAGAGTTTTTATTTTAATTTACAACTTCATTTCTTTATATTTGTGGCTAATGTTAAAGTACTTATATCAGTTAGAAATAAAATTAAAAAGTAAAGTAGTGTTCGGCGAATCTAGATGGCCTAGGCGCTCTGGGCAGGCAACTAGGCGCCATAGGCGGCCGACCAATTCACCTAGACAACAAACCAATTAGTCGGAGCGCCTAGACAAAAATCAGAGTGCCCGTCCACTGCCTAGCGTCTAGGCGGGGCCTAGTCAGACGCCTAGAACGATTTTTAGAACAGAGGTTCCTGCAAACATAGTGCATTTTGTTTTACGTCCCTACAAAATTATTTTTTTGTTTTTCATCCCTGAAATTAACGTCGGTTTTCTTTTTAGTCCATCACTAATGAATGATGATAGCAAACTCTATTTCACAACGAAACAACCCGACTAATTGCTTTCCTCTAATTCTTTGTCATGTATTCAAAAAGTATTTCATTTTATTCTTTAGAAGGTTTTTAGTACATATTTAAAAAATGTTAATGATTTTTTAAATTATTTTGACTCTCATATTAGCCTAAAAAAAATTATAAAAGCTTAAATTGAAAAGATTCTAGTAGATTTATGCAATTGACATTAATTTTTTTCTAAAGAGTGGTTTCGGAATTAGACACGGACTAAAAATAAAATAGTGCATATAATGGGAAATGAGTATAGCAAGTGATTTATTGGAGTCATAGATATTATTGAACGGTCTAGATGCTTTACACATGCTTAAGAGCTGAAATTTCACTAAAACCCTAGTTATGCACGACCGAGTGAAGAATGCGGATTTGAGAGGGAGAATTTTCTCTCTCATATGCACTAAGTTGATACCATTTTTTGGGTATTATTCAGTTCATTTAAGGGAGTGAATACTTCATTAAATAACTTTTGAAGGCATTTTCAATTAGGAGTTTAAGGCAAGAGTGATGGCAGTGACTTGGGTCATTAGAGTACAGTATTTATATTTATCAGTTTTCAGCTCATTTACCATACAGAAAATTGTAAAATGAATAATTATAGAAATCTCATGGCAACATTCAGCTCCTTGGTATCAAATTATCAATTGTGCCTAGAGAACAGATAAAATCATAAAACATAACAAGCATTGTCTGTTTCCAAGAGATTTTAGTTTGTTCAGTTTCCAAGGAGATTACAATAACAGAATTGTCTGTATCAAAGTATTATCAGTTAGTTCATTGAAATATCAAACCTTAAATTGTAAATTTGAAAAAACGATGGAGACATGAATTAATCAAGAAAGGAGTTTTCTCAAAGAAGAATCATAGTATTTCTTCCTTTCTCGAAGTACTGCACTTTAGCTAATAAAGAAAAATATGGATCTAAAAATAGCTCAAACCAGAACTCTTAGATTTATATGAGATACACAATTAGATTATCTGGAGTAAGGAAGAAAAGGAAAACAATTCCAATGAAAAGGTTTCTAAATGCATCTTATTATACAAAGAGTGTTTAAATGTGCTAACTTCTTTGATGAAATTAAGAATAGAGAAAGTAATCAGAATTAGGAAGCAATTCTGATAAATATTAGAATAGGAAATCACTCTATGATGGTTTTTGCAATGACAAATGGGTGAATGACTACACAAACCTAACACAGATTTGCAATTATATACACTCACTTTTTCATAAAATAGGCTATTTACAGTTTGAGTTTTTTTACCTTTAATTGATTAAAGTATTTTTTAAGGTTCTTGAATTCCAAGTGGTCCAATGCAATTATACTTTAGATATATTAAGAATAACAGAAATGGCATATGAGTTATGTGAATCATTTCAATTACCCCTAAATTATCACACAGCAAGATAACCCAGGATTGCTCATATTCTAAGAATATCATAACTGGCAGATGAGTTATGTGAACCATTTCAATTATCCCTAAATCGTCAGTTCATCACACAGCAAGGTATCCCAGGATTGCTCTACAGAATATGTTCAATCCCACAAATTAGGTTTGAAAAACAAGTTTACTTGAAAATTATATTTCCAATCAGGGGCGGCCCTGTACATTTGAAGGCCTAGGGGCGAAAAATTTAAAATGGGCCCACTTTTGAAAAAAATGTAAAACCCGAGGTGCCCTAATCTAACATGCAAAATAATAATATTTGAAGACTTTTCTAATTAAGAAAATACTTGAATTCGTTAAATTAAACATAGTCGAATCACGTTTTCAAAATAACCAAATAAAAATTGACTTAAATACATTCTTTGCTGAACATTGTGAAGCAAAGTCATCAACTATAGGTCTATGGCTTCATATATTCAAGCTTTTCCAACACATATGCTCAATGCTCATAAAAACAAACTTTTCCTTTGCACCTTTTTTACTTAGGGCCGCATTATCTAATCTTCTCTTCTTTATTTTTTTCTCCCATCTAGATTCAACCATTTTTATTAAACCTTTAAATTAGTTAAATTTATAAATTTAATAATAATTGATAATTTCACCTAACAAAATGAACAAATTATACACCAACACTCAATAGACAAAAATCAACAATTAAGTGATTAACATGTAACAAATCAACTAATTATTTATCAATTAGTCATAATCATTTATAAACACTAAACAACTATGTAGTATGAATTAAATTAATTTATCAATTAATAAACTTATCACATAATCATATGTGAATATTAATCAAATGAATTAATAAAAGAAAACATTGAAAACTGTAATTCTGAATTTCTGTACAACAATGGCCGAATTACCAAAGCTTAAGGTCGAAAGCTGTACCTGACCAGAACTCTTGAAGGCTTGCTGGCTTAGTGGATTGGAGAGTTGAAGCTGGAGTGCTGTGCTGGACGCCGATTGGCTGAAGCCTGAAGGCCGGAACTCTGGTCTCTGGAAGCCCTAGAACTGGAAATGAAAATCGTGCGTATTTTTTACACGCGATTCCAACGAAATCATTCCAAATCAACAAAAACGAAAAGTCATTGAATTGTTGGGGATGCCTAGAATTGAAAGGAATCTTTATATATATAAAAATGGAATCGACCGGGAAAATAAATGTTAGGCTAGAATTGAAATAAATAGCCTAGAATTGAAAGGAATAGCCTGATTCCATTTTAGGCTATGCGTGATCCGTCTAACTGTCTAAGTGTACACACAGTGATTCAGGCTAAAAAAAAATGTTCACTGATTGTTATTACGTATTGAGACACGTAACGGGTAAACCAACATTGACATACACATGGCAGTTTCTATCACATCATGGGAAAACAAACTACACACGTTCAAAAATCATGGGCTGTCAAAACTGCCTGCTACTCTTTAAATACCTGCTTCATCAATAAATTTAATTACTTTTCGGTGCGACTTTCAGAAGACAAGTGTGTAAGAAAAAATCCCAATTCAGACATTCTATCCCTATTCGTGAAGGTTAATAATAGCTCTTCTGTTACACTTCTTTGAGAGGATGTTGTTAACGAAGCTTCATTAAGTAATATATCTAGGAAAAATCCTTCCTTAAGGCCTCGCCTCTTTCGTGCTGATGATTTGCCATCCTACAATAACAAGAATGTGACACACTTCAGAGTACGTTTTTCACGATTTTAAGGTACACAAATGTAATCGAATGTAATTATTAACTAACACAAGAACATTAGCCCATTTAAGTGTATTACTTATGCAACCAAAGTTGATGAAACCCACCTTTTTGGTGGGTGTTGTGTAGGGTGTTTTGTATTTCCTCTATTTGATGCATATAGTTATATTGAATGAGCATATCTAAATTGAAATTATTACTTTAGATGATATTGGGAGCATCAGATTAATTCACTTACTGAGGCCACTGGAGTTTGATGGGGAATGTCAAAAGCTATGTGAGTCTGTGACGTGGTACTAGAATATCCTGGGTAATAAATATTTAACAAATATTTAACAAATAATTTAAGATCTTGAGTTATATATATTCAAGTTGTCTTTTACTCTTTGTTACATGACAGTCAAAAGACATGCACCAAGAAATACCCAGATTTCATGTTGCCGTAGTTCAATTTTGAAAACCAAAAGTGTACAGAGGTAGAACTCCCCACCCTAACAAGCCTTTAGCAGAATTTTAGAAGGTAAATTTTTATAAGTTATTGATAGAGTATTAACTCCTAGATTCTAGAGAGAAGGGAGAGCTAGAGAGAGAAGTGCAATAATATGCTTCAATAGAATGATTTCGTAACCCCTATAACTACTCCCAAGGGGAGTATTTATAGAGAAAATTAGGGTTGGGCTCCCAAGCCTTGGGCTTGGGAGGCCCATTTACAACTGGACCGCTATTGGGCCGAATACAAAGCCACTAATGGGCTGTCCAAATGAGTAAGTATAAAATCCGATTCTGGGAGGTCTTCGTGGCCGACGAGGGCGTGGCCGACGAGGGCACGGCCGACGAGGGCACCCGGGTTCCTTGGACTCAGGACCATAATCCGAGTTGGCCCCTTTTCGGCCGATGGGGGCGTCTTGGCCGACGAGGGCGCCACTCTGTTGTCTTGTGCTTTCTGTTCTTCCGAGTATGTGGGTCCCGGGGCTCAGACCCATATACTCCATCAGGAGTCCCCCACTCTCTAAGCTGAGACGTAGACGAAGTGAAGGAGAGTAGATTTCTATGCTTTGTTGCTTTTGGCCGACGCGGGCATTTCCAGGCCGTTAGCCGTTGCGGTATTGGCGCTGTTTCCATCTTGGTGATCCTGTTATGTGCTTTGGCCGTTACCTGCTCCTCGCTGTGGGCGGGGAGGCCGTTGTTTCCTTAAATGTGTTTGAGGATGATGACTGTCTTGTTTCAATGTCGGCCGTTGAAGGCGTGCTTTCCCTTTCCTGGACGTTGGTGGTTGAAGTTTATGTTTGGGCCGGTGAGGCCGTTGAGGTTGTTCCTTGCTTTGAGGACGATGGCGTCCTTTCCTTTGGGTGGCCGATGAGGGTGCTTGCGCGCCCCTTTTGGCCGTTGCTGGTTGGCCCTCGTGTTCTTGGCCGAAGGGCCCGTCAAGATTAATTGTTGGCGGAGGACGATGAGTGTCCTTGCCTCTAGTGGCTTGTTGGCCGTCGCTAATGACGTTTTGGGCCTTTGGCCGATGAGGTTCCGTTGTGCTGTGTGGATGATGTGGCCATGTTTGTGGTTACCTTGTTTATACTCTTTGTTTCGTTGAGGCCAGTGTAGTCCACCAGTCCCCCACTGCTTCAGGCCGAGGAGTGCGAGGGGTGAAGGAGTTGCTTGAGTCCCTGGCCGAAGCGGCATCTCCGTAGTCCCCCTGAATCCAACTCTCATGGCGATTTTCTGGCCAAGGTAACCCTGTGGGAGAACCCTTGTGCGCAGATCGCTTGTAGAGAGTTATCATCAAGGGTTATTACGAGGAGCCGAAGGCTGCGGGCTATTTGTTCCCTTTGTTCTGTGGCCGTTACGTTTCTGGCCGTTGCCATCTTCTTATTGTTTGGCATCTGTGATATTGGCAAGCAAATGAGACGTTATGGGTGCTGGCTGGTACTTGTGAAGCCAGCGAGCGTGTAGGCCGTAGAGTCTGATTTGCCGGTGGGCCGTTGATATGGGTTGGTCCTGGCCCGTTGGTGACGTGGTGGCCTCCCAGTGGTGGCCGTTGCTGTGGACATTGGGAGAGTGCCACGTGTAGTGACCGTTGGTGGGGGGGGGGTCTATAAATACCCCTTCCCCTCCGACGAGGAATCACATTTGCATTCTGAATTTGTCGAAGTGCTGGCCGATTTTCTAGAGAGATAAACTCCCAAGCCTGTTCTTCGTGTTCTTCGTTGTTCGAGGTTAGTGTTCATCACGATCTTCCTCGCTTTTCATACTTTGCTTCCTAGGTAGTTGATCTAGTGTTAGGCGTTTAAACACCTTTAGATCTTAAGTTGTTCTCCTTAAGCCCGTAGTAGTAGTAATGAAGAGCTTGAACGAGGACTACTACCCCTACGACGACCAGCCCTCCACGAGGTCGCTTGACTACGAGGTGCTCGAGGAGTTTGAAGAGGAGATAGAGCGTTTGAGCCCCTACAAATCCAGAGAGCTGATGGACGAGGAAGGCGAGGACGAGGAGTCCGCCTCCTCTTCAGAGGGTGAGGACGTAGGCGCGTCCCGAGCGGTGGACGGGGCGTCCACTTCTGCTGCCGTTCCGTGCCCGAGGCCGGTGTCTGCCGTGAAGGGAGCAGCTAAGCCGAAGAGGGTGAGGAGGCCGAAGAATGGGCCGGGCCTCTCCTACTTGGACCTCACCAACATATTCCTGATCAAGCCGGAGAGCAGTGCGGCCGACTATCTTGTCGCCCAGATGTACGTGGGGCCGTTCGGGCGGGTTAGGGCACCCAGGCCGACGGACCATGTTCTACTTCCGCCACCGGGATACTTTGGAGTATACCCGATGAGTTTTGCTAAGGGGTTGAGGTTCCCCCTTCACCCTTTCGTCATTGAGTATCTGGACATGGTGGGGCTTCCTCCGGCCTTGCTGACGCCGAACAGTTATTCCTTGAAGGTGGGCTTTTTACTTCGGTGTGAGGAGTTGGGCTTCAGGCCGACCACGGCCTTATTCATGAACTTGTACCAGATCGGCCGAGGAAGCCACAAGAACTGTGCGGCCTATGCTACTCTTCAACAGCTGCCGAGGAAGAGGAGCTTCACGGATTTGCCTACGTCCATTCATGGGTGGAAGAGCAAGTTCGTGTTTGTGTCCATTGGTGAGAGTGGCACCGAGTTCTCCTCTCTCGGCCATACCGGGAGGTTCAATCTCCATGACCCGCCGAAGAGCTCTATTTTGGACGCTCAGGTGGAGGCTTTCCTGGAAGGGGGGCCGAGGAGCGTGAAAGATTACGTCACTGAATACAAGATGACCGCCCTCGGCTTCTTCAGATATCACCTGTATGGAGATAAGGAGGATGACCTCCAACTCTGGCCGAGGATGACCACCACCTTTGAGGAGGCCGATGGCCCGGATTTGGGCATCCCTGCTGAGGCCGATGGTAATTTTTTCTTCGGCTTTCTGTCTTTATATTTTGTCCTTTGCCTTACTAATCTGTTTGTTTTTCCCTTGTAGACTTTGTCATGGACCGGCGTTCCATAATGGCTGTTGCCAAGGCCAAGGCGGCCCGACGTGCCGCTGCTGGTGGGAGCGGGGCTACTGCTGATGCGGCCCCAAAGCCTGCCCCATCAAAGAAAAAGAGAGCGGCCACTGACGGCCAGAAAAAGTTGACTGAGGCCGGCGTGAGCGTCTCTAAGAAGACGAAGAGGGCTCCCTCCCCGTCTCCGGCTAGTGAGGCCGGTACTCTTACTGTCCCCAGCGTGGGCGATGGTGGTCCCGTCGTGGACCTTACTGTTGCTGACGATGCTGCCCCAGCGCTTCCTCTCGTCCAGGAACCACGGACGCAGAGGGCCGGCAAGGAGATTGTCGGTGCCACCTACCAGAAGGTGATAGAATATCCCGTCGGCGGGGGCGTGTTTAATGATCTCGTCCCCGGCCACGTCGTCCTGGCCAAGGCCATGCCGGCCAAAGATCGGGCTCACTTGAAGAAGCTCGAGGACCCGAAGATTTATGAGGGCGGCATGGACCTCCTCGTCCAAGTAAGTTACTATCCTTATATTTTTGTCTCTCTTCGTCTGTGTAGAGTTTTTTGCCTGACCTCTGTTTTCCTTCTGCAGAGTGCCTTCATGCTTATGAAAAGCCATAAGAGGCAGTACTGGGAGATAGCTCGCCTGCAAGCGCTGGAGCAGAAGGCTGCCTCGGCCGACGAGGCGGTAGCTTGCCTTGACCGGCTCCGGGAGGATGCCAAGGCGCTGCAGGCCAAAGCTGATGAAGCCGCCGCGGCCAGGGACGATGCCCTGGTCAAGCTCGAGGAGAGCAAAAGGGAGCTCGAGGAGTCCCAAAGGGAGCTCGAGGAGTCCCAAAGGGCGCTCGAGGCCGAGAGGCGCAGGAGCGAGGAGGCTGCCAAGGCGAAGGCTGAGGCCGAGGCCGCCGTCGTGAAGGCTGCCGATGAGGCCGTCGAGAAGTTCTTGGCCGAGGGGTGGAAGGCCGATGAGAGGCTCCCCTGGTGCTACGATGTGGTGGCCGCCAGGCTTGAGAATTGGGGGATGAACTCCCCTGCCGGCCGGGAGTATTTCAGCCGGGAGATGTCCGTTTATTACAACCTGGGCCA